TTTTTTTACTTAAATTTTTAACCTAGTTTTTTTTTATTTATTTATAAATAAATAAATAAATGATTTTTTTAAAAAATTACAAACAACCGGTTTAATAATTTTTTTTAATATTTTTTTTTTTTCTTCACAGACAGAAATGAAGTTGATTACCTTGAAAATTTTACGCATTCATTATTTACTACTCGTACGCGATTTCTAAGGTAATAAAAAAAAAAAAAAAAAAAAAAAAAAAACTTCTAGACTAGGATTCAGTGTGAGAAACTTCCGCGGTGCGGTTTGAAAAAGTTTATTTTTTTGCAAATTTTATCATTATTATTATTATTATTATTATTATTTTTGTTTCGGTTAATATTCGTTAGAGGAGTAAAAAAAAAAAAAAAAAATGTTTGGGTGTCCGTTACGTGTTGCATCGATGACAAATATATTAAAGAAAAGGATCATGCGAGAAATGGCATCATCATCATCATCGTCGAGTCCTCAGGTTTCTAAACCTGTATTAACATCTCCGATGTTATCAAAGGATCCACCGAGGATTTTGATAACGGGAAGTTTAGGACAATTGGGTTTGGAATTAACAAAATATCTTAGAAAAATTTACGGTACGGAAAATGTCATCATGTCTGATATAATAAAACCGACGAAACAAGTTGCCGAAAGTGGACCCTACATATTTGCTGACATATTGGATTTTAAAGGATTACAAGATATCGTCGTGTCACACAGAATCGATTGGTTGATACATTTTAGTGCTTTATTGAGTGCAGTAGGTGAGCAAAACGTACCCTTGGCAGTTAGAGTAAACATAGAAGGATTACATAACGTCATAGAATTGGCAAAACAATATAAATTAAAAATATTCGTACCGAGTACCATCGGTGCTTTCGGACCGGATTCACCGAGAAATCCAACACCGAACGTGACAATTCAAAGACCCAAAACGATTTACGGTGTGTCAAAAGTACACGCCGAACTTTTAGGAGAATATTATCATCATAAATTCGGTTTGGATTTTCGTTGTTTGAGATTTCCCGGTGTTATTTCATCCGATCCTCCAGGTGGTGGTACTACGGATTATGCCATCGCCATTTTTCACGAAATATTAAAAACGGGAAAATACGAATGTTATTTGGAACCCAACACTTTACTACCCATGATGTACATTGATGATTGTTTGAGATCGATATCGGAATTTTTAGTCGCACCCAATCATCTTCTCAAACACAGGGTGTATAACGTGACCGCCATGAGTTTTACACCCAAGGAACTTTTTGATGAAATTAAAAAATATCAACCCTCGGCTGAAATAACTTTTAAACCCGATGGAAGGCAAATAATTGCCGATTCTTGGCCACAAGTTTTCGACGATAGCGAAGCGAGAAACGATTGGGGTTGGCAAAATAAATACGGTTTAAGTGAACTTGTCGAATTCATGTTGAAAGACGTTAAAAAATATTTAAAAACTTGATGTTAATTTTCTTCTGCTTTTTTTTTAAATGGTAATAATAATAATAATAATAATAACAATATTACTGTACTGTTTTCATGTTGGGATGAAAAGTTCATCCATCCAAAAATAATAAGTTTTTTTTTTTTTAAATCATCACCCGGGAGCCATTTTTTTTTTTTTTTTACATTGAATCGAACAGTAAACTACATAATATATATAAAAAAATAATAATAATAATAATGCAATTTTTTTTTTTACATTTTAATATAAAGTTTAAAGTGTAAAATTAAATGTATAAAAAATTTATTATTATTGTTTTGGTTTTTTTTTTAAAGTTTAAAAACTAAACATTAACATATTTAAAATGATTATGATGTATATTTCTTTTTTTTTTTATATAAAAATAAAATTTTAAAAAATTTAATAAGTTTAATTGTTTTTTCTTATGTAAATCAATAACAAAATTCTATATGCGTACACGTGCACGTAAATATAAAAAAATATTAATTTGATATTTTCTCATTTCTTTCAATACAATAAATAAATAAAAAATAAAAATAAAAAGTATGTTGTAAAGTAAAAATCGTTTTACATTTTTCCATTTTAAAAAACCATTAAAAAAAAAAAAAAAAATTATTAAACAAGTTTTTTTTGCCATTCAACGTTTTTTCAACCGTGAGTCTTACTACGATTCATTGATTATCGAACCGTGGCGAAAAAACTTTAAAACGATGATAATAATAATAATAAAACATCCTTTTTAATTAGTAACAACAACAACAACAAACTTAACGAGTGTACGGAATGTTTAAATGTTTTCTTTGCAAAAAAAAAAAAAAAAAAAAAAAAAAACATTTGCAACAACAACATTTCATTACAAATTAGTTTTCTATTCCTTCTACCCCCCTTCTTATTTAACTTAATGTTGATAACGTGTATAACATGTGAATTTGTTTGGCTGTCACGGGTCCTATTGACCTGTTGAAACCCCCGTAAGTTAATTTGGCTATCGTTTTCTCACCCCCTCCCGAATCATTTAAAGCTTCCATTAATTTTTTCGGAGTCGGATATTTTTGAACGATTGCTTTTGCCTTATCCACGGAACAACCGTTAAGTTGTAATAAATGTTTAACAAGCATGTTCCGAACCGTTGATTTCTGTAAAATAATAATAATAATAATAATTTTTTTTACGTTAAGATAATTTCGTGCGTGCATCACATCTGAGTTTTAAAACTCGCGTTACGCGAAAAAAAAAATATTATTATTATCTGACATTTACATTATTTATTATTAACATTGAAATTTATCAATAACAAGGCTAACAATTTAAATAAAAAATCGAAAATACCGTTACTCGAAAACATTTCCGACGTTTCCTTTTGAAAAAAACGTTTCTTTTTTTTTTATAATTTAATATCATTTGGTTTTGTAACGTATTGGAAAAAGAAATCCTTGATAATTTAATTCGTAAATAAATAAATAAATAAATAAATTATAATTAATCGCATGATTTTTTTCAAATGAATAATAATAATAAAAAACAACTCATAAGTGAAAATAGTTTTTTACGGTCCGGTTTATAATGTCAACCGTTTGTATTTAAAATAATTAATTAATCGACGTGACAGTTTAATTAAATGTAAAATAAATAAATAAATAAAATAGTAGAAAGTACCAAACGCCCCCTGTTTCCTCCCCCCTCCCCCTTATAAATGTCAATGATTTTCACACCGAAAAGTTTTTTTTTCAAGTGGTACTTATTGTTCTTTTAAATTTATTCGATTAAATATTGACAAAATTGATTGACATTGGCATTGGCAATCATCATCATCATCATCAGGCAATGATTGACGTATTAGGAAATTATTATTTATAATTCATTATCGACGAGTAATAAAGAGAGAGAGAGAGAGAAAAAGTAAAACCTTGTCAAACGCGTTTTACCTACTACGATTTATATAAGAATCTCATCTCGAAATTTTTTTTTTTTTTTTTTGTAAATAATATTAAGCGTGACCTTTACCTTGATTATTTGACGTCGTTTTTTTTTTTTATAATTAAATTTAAAACGTGGGTATAAAAAAAGAAAAAATTATAATTTTTTTTTTTCTTACCTTATTTTTTTTTGAACCTTTGTTAAAATCATTAAACGTCATAAGGGAAACAAGATCTTCGGATAAATTTATCGGAGTTATATTTGATTTTTTGCAACTCACTAATGTTTTGTTTTGAAAAAAAAAAAAAAAAAAAAAAATACGTATTATGAATAGAAAAAGTAAATAAATAAATAAATAATTGAAAAATGTTTTTCTTTGTCACACCTTAAATATTTTATTTAATTGTATTGTCATGCAATCTAAATATCTCATTGAATGATTGTGAGATTCGGTTATTTTAACGGTGAAACCGCCCACGATTTGAGTATTTGAAATCGCTTGTAAAAGTGTTGGCATGGGTAAACCGAGTCTTTGATTTTCTGTTCCGTATTTCTCAACCAAATATATTAAATTATCTAATTTTGATTGTTTTAATCTAAACTAAAACGTTATTAAATTATTATTATTATAAAACATTTCGATTTTATTTATTTATTTAAAAAAAAAAATTTACTTTTTGTTCGTGAAATCGTCCGTCCTTAATACTTTGAGCCAAATCATCCATTCTTTTTCTCTCTACTATATAAGGTAAAACCAACTCTTGCCCCTCATTATTTTTTGCAATCCATATAAAATCTCCAACTTTTAAATGCCTGATTTCAAAATTAACGTGCCTACATTTTAACTGACGCATGGTCATTTGATCAGATTTTTGAAATTTACTAAAAGTTTACAAACAAAATTTTACTTTTAAAAAATTTTAAACATTGAAAACAAAATTGTAAAAAAAATTATTTATATTACTTGTCTCTTTCTTGATTATCTACAAGAAGAATTATTTGAAAACTGTTTGGAAGCATAAAAATAGTTTCATCTTCTTGATTAGAATCTATATTTACTCCATTTGATTCTTTTTGACTTAAAATATCATTAACAGGATTTATATCACCTAACGCTTCGGCAACTAACGAAGAAGTTTTTTTTGAATTTTCTTTTACCGATTGAACACATTCAGATGGCAAATTTTTTTTGTGACTTTTTTTTGTACCATCAGATGGTAAATTTTCATTGGTAGAAGTTTGAGAAAGTAAATTGTTACAATTTTCTGTCGAATTGTTCTGAATTTTAATCAAAATAGCTATGTCAGTACCCGATTCAGTTAAAACAAATCTAAAAACAATTTTTTATAATTTTTTTTTTTTAAATTATAAAAACTATTGGTTTCTATATAAAAAGCATACCATTGACACCTTACTTAGCTGGATTTCCTTCTTTAGAAACTAAATTTTTTTTCAAAAGTATTGCCATTGATGACCAAGCTGTATAATGTGAGCCTGGTTTTGGTACAGTGAATGACGAATCGCAATATTTTTGTGCAGCATTTTGAATTTCAGATTTTAATAAATAACCTTTTAAAAAAATAATCAAATAATAAATAAAATTAATTCAAATGATTTAATTTTAAGTAAAAATTTTTAAAAGTTTAATTATTTCAAAAACAATATATTAAAGTTTTGTAATAATAATATTTGTATAAAACCAATTACCTTTGTAACTGTCCTCTTGTGATTTCTCAAACATAGCACATAAAATGGCATAACCACCAGATCTGTAGGCAGGAACATAATTTGACTTTTTACTTTTCACTAAATCTATTGATACAGGTTCAAAAGCAACTTTATTGGAATTCTCCTCTACTTTATCAAAACATTCTTTTACTTTTTCATTTATTGTGTTTAAACTTTCATTAATATTTTGATCACAACTAATTTCTAAAAAAAAAAAAAGTACAATAATATTATAAGAAAAAAACATTATAATTTTTTATACTTTAGAAATAAAATTTTTGGTGACTGGAAAATAATACAATTTTTTTTGAATAATAAGGCATTTCAGTTATTTAAAAAGTTATCACCTTACCCTTGGAGTTAGCAGCGTTAAACTCTTCTAATTTTTTATCAAGCATTTGACAAATTTTTGATCCAAAATTTTCTAAAATGATGCATTCTTTTCCACTATTTAATTTAAATGGAAACTTTTTTAAAGAAGTAAGCGCTCTATTGAATGTGTAATGCATTTCGGAACCACTTTTTTTTGCTTCATCTTTCCACTCTTTAAGCCATTTTTCAAATAATGGATTTTGACACTTTTTTATTTTACGTTTAACGCGTTTAAGAGGAACTTCAACAGTAGTCATAACGGTAAAAAAAAAACATAAATAAAAATAAAAAATTTTTGAAAGCGATGATAGTGTTAATACATGAAAACAACGGTTATAAAGTGTCACTAGAATTAGATTACGTGTAATCAAACTTTTACGAATTCTGCTGCAACGTTGGCAAACATGGCGAAAATAAAACTTGGTTGCCTCTCAAATTTTAATTCTTTGTTAATTTTTTTTAATGTAGAAAACATACGATATGCTTCTACTTTATAATAAATATAATTTTTCGGGGAACGATGTCAAAGTTCGGTAGCAAGACAGGTCGAAGAACCAGCCGTCAAAGATTTTTAAAGGCTGATCTCTGCGGTTTGTATAATCCATATTTAAATACAGTTGATAAAAAATAAAAATAAAAACATTCTAATGTAATATTAATTTTCACTTTCATCAATTTAGTATTTAAATAAAAAGAAAAAAATATACGTACATTCATGAGTTTCTTACGGAATATTTAAGTGATTGTCATCTTAATTTTCAGATGTTACCATAAATGATTTTGCCAATTCATCAATTATAAGTTCATCCGACCGAATGAAAAAAAATAAGTTAAAGATTAATCAAGTCATTGATACAGGTAGTAATAATTATTTCATTTTTTTTTTGATTATATTACAATTTAAATTTAGAAAATAATAAACAATTGTTTGTAGTTAATCAGCTTAGCTTGATAGATGATAATCAAACTTGGGAAGAAAAACTAGAGATTTATGAAAATCAATCGGAAGAAAATGATTCAGGAAGCGAGATAAAAAAAAAGTTAGGTCTTCAAAAAAAGAAAAAAGTTGTCGAATCAGAAAGTATTAATGATGATTCAGGAATTGATTACCCTATTGATATCTGGTTTCTTTTATCTGAATACATACCTCCTGAAGCTGTAGGAAAATTTGCTGCCATTTGTAAGACATCATTAGCCGTCGTGTCAACTGCTAAATTTTGGTTTAATCTATACAAAAGGTATAATAATAAAACAATTAATTAATTTTATTTTTTAAATTTATTCAAATTTCAGTTATGCAACTTACCATGTCAAGGATAATTATTTTAACCTTTATCAATTTTAGTTGTATTTTAATTCGTTATGCAAATTTTCTCACTCTAAAATTTTCATTTCTTCTTTTTTAAAAAAGATCATTTAATTCTTTTCAATTGAAAATTATTAAATTTTTTTTAGATACTATACTGGAGTAGCAAACTTACCGGAACAATATCAGCCAGAGTGTATGGTACGAAAATATGGATTAAGAGCTCAAGTAATAAGAGCTTTACATTTCATGTATCCTCCATTTGTAGCAAAGCTTAAACCTCAAGTTTTATTCGATGGTGATCCTCATTTGTTAATAAAAAGATATTGTGTGCTTGCTTGGTGTCAAGTATGAAAAAATAATTAATTTCTTATTCATTAATGAAAATATTTAATAATTGATTTGATTAAATTTTTTTACTTTTTGATTTTTAGAAAATTAAAAATTATTGGTTATTTTGTTTCAAACTTAAATTAGGAGCTCCCTTTAAAAATAGCAATGGAAAAAATAAAACAAAATCTAAAAATCTTTTGGATTTTCTCGAAGACATAACTGCAAACGAAGATGACAATTGTAAAGTTTTACAGGCAAGCATAATAAAAAACCAGTCAAAATTTAATCATAACGTTATGAATAAAATAAATCACAGTTTCCTATTATCTCATTATTATTATTATTATTATAGGTTACATGTTTAAATTATGTCATACTACCCATGTTATATGGTCAAACTTTAAGCAGCGTGTCGTTGAACGTCGCCCAAGGAATGAGATATCATAAAATGCAATTGAATTTCAGTAGCAGTCCTTATCCTTCGGCGAGTAATTGTAATTCAATGGTTCTCGAACCTGTTGTCAACGTTCGCGTATTAGACTGGTGGCATCCATCGTTCCCTCATTCTGATGGCTTCAACACTAGTTTATTTTCATCAGAAATCGCCCCTCAATTTGATGATATTGAGTTCTAAAAAATATAGAATCAATGAAATGAAATTCATTCAGTAAATCAATTGATTGTGCCTAACATTATTAAACTGGAATATTTTTTTTTTTTTTTTTTTCTGTTTTTATGATAATTAATAATAAAAAATTATAAATAGATACAGTATATAATATCATTATTCTATATTTTATTATATTATAATATATTTCAGTTGAATTTTTTTAAAAACAAATTTATTATTGATATTTTTTTAGAAGAAAAAACCGTAAAATTTAGTTCCCTTATAAGAATTATTACACGACTGAATTATAAAAAAAATTTTTTTTTTTATTTACTTTCAAAAGCTTTAAATTAAATTTTAAAATGCCTTATATAAAAAAAAAAATTATTAATTAATTGATTATAATGACCGTTATATTAATTTTTATTTAAATGATTTTATAAAAAAAAAATAATAATAATAATATCGAAATACATATGATATATTTTACCATACTTGTAAGTATAGTAAATAATAAAAAATTTTATTATTTATGCACTCATTATTTAATAGAATAATAATTTTTTAATTATAAAATATTTTATTATTATCTAGTAATCAATGCAATAGTCGTCGATTTAACTATAAATATTATTAATTCACTTATTTTTAGATAATTAATTAAAATTACACAGGGTAAAAAAAGATAATTGAATGTAAAGATCTAGGAATGACTATTAATTAAATCAAAATTTTAAAAAAACTACGTACAATAATTACATTATTTTACATTGAAATTATTTGATTTAGCCTTTCATTCGGTTAGAAGCATCTTCGAAAGCATTTTCTGCTTTCTTATATTCGTTCGGATCAAGTATATCCTTTAATTTTCCCAAAACCTGAGATAACGAAAAAAGAGGACGATTTCTAAATGCTAATAATTCTTCGATGGATGCTCGTTTTTTCGTGTCGTGTATCAAACATCTTTTACACGATTCAATGAGAATATCTGGAACTCCGGATATTTTTGGAAAAGGTACTGAATAATTTGGGTCAGTAATTGCTTTTAACTTATGCAGAGGTTTCACCAAATCCTGATATGGAGTTTTTTTGTATAGAAAATAATATAAAATACATCCCAATGACCAAACATCTGTTTTTCGACCGATCTATAAAATACAATTACTTTAATTCCAATTCAAAAAAAAAAAAAAATTACAATAAATATTTTAATTTACCTTCAACACTATTTTATTATCGAAACCTAAATCTTGCAATGCTTCCGGACTCATATAATTAAATGTACCTGACTGCGATTCCATTAAAATGCTTGTTTGTTCTGTTTGTATAGAAGAAGCTATACCAAAATCTATTAATTTTAATCGACCGGAAACTAAAAGAAAGTTTGCTGGTTTTAAATCTCTGTGAATTATATCTGAAAAAATTAAAAATTTAAATTTTTAACTTTATTAAAAGAAAGCCTCGAAAATAATTATTAAGAAAACATTAATATTTAATAAAAAAGTACACTAACTGTTATCGTGAATGCTTTTGACAGCCATTAGCATTTCTGTCCAATAATACATAATCAGCTCTGGAGAAATACCTTCATCGCTGGATGCTTTGTCTTTTAAAAATCTTGATAAATCTGTTTCACCCCTTTCCATTACAGCAAATAATATTTTTTGAGAACTAAGGTATTGGCTGTAAAAAAAAAAAAAAAAAAGAAATTTAAATTAAATACAGAATCGGAAATAAAGTTTTTAATTAATTGTATCAATTTAACAAAACATAAAATTAACTTTTTTGATGCTTTCATTTCAAAAACATTATTAAATACTCTTATTATTTATTGTAATATTCTTTATAAATAAATTACTTACTGATCATAAAGTTTTATAACATGTTTGCAGTGTTGCATTTTCATCAAATGTTGAATTTCATTTAGATAATCATTTTTGGTACTTTCCGAGACATCCGATAACCTAACACATTTAACAGCTAATAATTCATTTTCAGAATTAAGAACCTAAAATAAATAATAATTTTTACAAAATGAAAAATATAGTAGGGAATTCAAATTTAATATTTTTATTAATGATATAAAATTAAAATTTTCATACCAAATAAACTTTGCTAGATCCACCTTTTCCGAGAGGTGCTAAAATTTGATAAGATTTTTTATTAATTACTAAAACTTTTGATGATTCTTTAGATTTAGGAGTAGCAGGAACAGCAAATCTAAAATTAATTGTAAATTTTATTTTACTTGAAACAAAAAAAAATCTTTTCAATTATTAAAAAAAAAATTGTGTACTTAGAAACTGGGGTAGCAACTTGTGATGATGGTTTAGTTTTGACCATTTTTTCAGAAATATTTTTGATTTTATCATTCATTTCTGGTTTCCCTTTTTTTAAAATTAAATCCTGTTTTCTAATAATTTCTTCTTTGATAATTTTTTCTCTAAAATAAAATTTAAAAAAGTGTAAAAAATTAACATAGTTTAAAAACGTTTGTAAGAAATTACTAAAACACTAACTTTTCCAATAAGGCATTCTTTGATGTTAGTTTTTTTTCACTGTAAAAAATTAAATTTGGTTTATTCTGAACATCTTTCACTTTACAACTTTTAATCAAGTCATTTTCTTGAAAATTTTTCCCATTATGTTCAGAAATTGGAGGCTTAGTGTTAGACGGTGTGCAATATATATTTTTTAAGTAATTGCTATTAAAGTTTTCTTTATTTTCAACATTGCAGTCCTGAACTTCTTTACTGTTATTACTAGTTGTTTCTTTTATAATTTTTTCATTAGAAAAATCATTTAATTGAAAGTTAGAAAATGAACTAGAATTACTATTTTTTTTAAATTCACTAGACTTTCTAACATTTTTATTTTCAGGCATAACCTTCTTAGCAGATAAATCTAGAATGTCAATATTTTTCTGAAAAGAAATGCTAGAACCCGGAAGGGTGTGAGATTTGCTACACAAATTCAAAGGCTTTCCTTCTTGATTTTCTTCAGAATTAGTTTTGACATTTGATTCATTTTCCCCTGTAAACTCAAAATCATCATCGTAATAAACTTCATCATCAATGCTATCTTTTTTTAACTCAACATCTTTTTCAGTGGCTTCAGCCAATAGTTTATTCCACTCTAATTTCATCACCGGACGAACTTTTTGAGGGACGCCCATACGAGGTTTCCTAAGAAACGGAGCTAAATCTGGCACTGAAGCCATTTATCCGAAATTAAAATTAATTTTTAACTTTAGAAACACTTTAAATACATTTTTATTGACTTAAATTTTTAATATATAAAAAAATATTTTTCATTTTGTAGACTTTAAATTCTTTAACAACGAATAAACTCATAAAATGAAATGTAAATAACACACATTATCCGATCCCTTTCAAAAATAACTGACATTTGACCATAGACAATAAATCTCTTTTTAACAGTTTCGCTTTATATGACTTTAAAATAATAATAAACTCTGTGAAAAAGGGCCCCGAAAATTAAAAAACGAAAAATAATATTTTATAACGGTTAGCAAAATATAATAGTTTTGTATGTTAGATTAAAAAAAATAATGCAAGTTTTTTTTATGATTCATTTTACAAATTATAAAATTCAAAATTTGGTACAAAATTAGTAAATTTTAGATTAAATCAAATTATTTATTTGAAATAAATTATAATTTTTATTGCATAAGGCTAAATTTATTTGCCTTTATCATTTTTTTTATTAATTTCAGCATTTGTCATTTGTTTGTTTTTTAATTTTTTATTTTTATTTACTTTTTTGTTTTTCTTTTTCTTTACAAATTGTTGAGTATCATCATCCAAATCTAAAACCTTTTTAGCTTGATGAGTAGACATAACTTTAACTAATATTCCACTTTTTTTAAATTTACTGAAAAATGAAAAAAATTATGTTAATGAATAATATTTGTCAAATTTGTTTTCACTTTTTTTTTATTTACAAGATATAAATTTAAAATTACTTCATTTTAGTTTTAGACTTGTAAGAACTTTCTAAACTTTCATTTATTAATCCTGATGAATTTTTATCATTTTTATTTAGTAAAGCAATTTGACTGGTCGGATCTTCTGCAACACTCAATGACAAAAAATTATCCTTGTTTCTAAAAATATTGAATAATTTTTTTTTTTAAATATTCTTGTTTATTACTAAAAAACTAACTAACTAACTAACTAATAAAAATCAAACAGTATTTACTTTTTAGGTTTTAAATTTGGTTTTTTATCTTCTTTAACATTTTCACTTTTTCCTTGGCTTAACGTTTTATTAATTTTAAATATTTTAGCAGGCCACATTTTTTTTTTTTTCTGTATTGATGTGCAGAACTGTTCATGTGAAAAATTATTTTTCTAGTGCTTTGTTGCGATAACGTCTGAGGACTAAAAAGTAAAGTCAGTAAAAATGGCCATTCTGTATATTTTTATAATCTAGTAATAACTCACTCAATAATTATTTTATTGCTCGATTGTGAGGTAAAATTTGATGTCCATACTAAGGGTCCTTTACTCCAGTGTGCGAAAGACAATCCTGCTGAACTTTTTGTTAATGATGCATTATTTTTTATACTGTTGCATGGCCATCCAGGCCATATTTTTTGTTTTATCATTGACCCCATTTTAAGTTGAAATTCTGCATTTAATTCTTTGATTGATTTTTGCCCCTTACTAAACATAAAATTTTTAAAAAAAATGTAAAATAGTCACAATTAAATCGTTCACAAATAAAATAATTTATTTACTTTCCTGTATAAGTTCTTATTATGATGCCATAAATGAATTTTTTCTGCAGTCGCTTCAATTTTTCCATTTTTTTTATTGAAATTTCCTTAAAAAATTTAATTTTAGAGAAAAAAAATGTAATTGTTTTTTTTAAACAAATGCTTACTTGACTTACTTTTTATTTCTTTAAAATTAGTGCATGTACAATACAAGTCAGAATTTTCTAAAATTTGAGCTGACGTCACTATCAATTCCGGTGGCATGTACCGCCTTTTTACTTTTTTTTTCTTTTCATTTATTTTTGAATTGAAAATTCCTTTTGAACAATTATTATTTTCTTCCGTAGTAGATTCAGGTTCGGTAGTGAAATCTAACCCTTCTTGATTTTGCTCTTGAGTTGGAGGATCTAGCGTTGTTCTATGTACTTGAAGAACTTTTCTTGGCACAGGAGGAGTTTTTTCAGAAACATTTATTTTTTTTGGAACTTTTACACCATTCGATTTCTGTTTTTGCTATTAAAAATTTAAAAAACTTGTGTAAAAATAACATTTGGTAGTTAAACGCCAAAAAAAAAAATTTACCTTTAAGGGAGAAGTTTTTTTTATTGTAGTGGAAGGTAATGAAGGTGACTCATGTGTAGGAGCCTTTAAAATTTTATTTGTATTTTCTGTCCATGCTGGTTTTTCATCTTTGGGAATAACGTCACCGGTTGAACTATCGCTGGTGTCTCCTTCGTCACTTTTAGAAATTGAAAAAACAAACTTTATCATTATAAATGAATGCTCAGGTATATGTAAAGCAAAATTTTTTCGTACCTTGAATAATCTGATAAGTTAATATTGGTGGGTTCGTCGGCATTCGAGCCTTCCTTCATTAATCTTTCGACAATCTTTAGCCTTAATTTTTCCTTTTTAACTAAAAATTTTAACAACAAAAAAAGCGTTTTTCTCGTACAGCCTTTATTTTCCCATTTTTATTCATTTTTAAATCAAAAGCCTTAATAAATAACTTACATTTAAAATTCCATTGTCAAATGTAAAATAAACATTTTAAAATCAGTTTTAAAAAAAAAAAAAAAACTAATTAAATTGATAAATTTTAAAAAAAAGTACCTTGCTTGGGTCTTCATCGCAAAAATCTAACAAGGTTTCACAAAAAGCTTTTCCCATACTTTCAAAATCTTGAATATTAAAATGAGTATCTCCTCGACTACCTAAAGTTGAACCTGCAAAGGATGCTTCCATGGTATAACTGTTCAAAACACCCATCATCCAAACAACCACTCGTCCAGTTCCTTCTTTAGACCTTTGAATTCGAAATTTACAATTTTCAAAAGAAAACTAAAACGAAATATTTAATTTTACGAAATCGATTCCAGAAGAGTAACTAAATTAATTTAATAAAATACTTTTTACTTTATCAGCTGCATTTTTATGAAGCATTAAAGGAAAAACCTGCTCCTGTAGCCTTTTTTCTATGTAACGTTTATTTTCACAGCCGTAAATGAACACATTATGCTTACGCGAATGAGCATGAAGATCACAGTACATGACAATGCCACATTCTTCGATCAGTCTAAAAATCCAAAAAAAAATTTTTTTTTTGTTAAATTTTTATTTTTTAATTTATTTAAACAATTCTTCACACCTTTTAATCATAAGTTTTGTGTGCCACACCGGTGGATATGTTTCTCTTATAACTGTTCTGTACTGTCTATTAAGATCTCGTCCCGTTAAAGAGCACCTATTATTTCCTACAATTACTCCATCGGGATTTAACATTGGCACTAATTTAAAAATAAATTTTTCCCGCAATTCCTACAATAAAAAAATAACATGGCAGTTCATGGATTTGCTTTTGATTGTTTTTAAACAATTTATCTTTATTTTAAAACCCTTATATTAATAACTGATTAAAAACCTTAGCTTGTTCACTATCGCTCGTTAAAAAATCTATAAATCCTTTCATCATCCACGATGATGGCGTTTCTCCAGGATGAACTCTTGCCGTCACAACTACAGCTTTTTTTTTCTAAAATTAAGAAAAATTTTTGTTTTTTAGAAGTGAGTACTTAATTTTTCTAAACCTGCATAAATTTTTCCCATACCTTAGGCTCATCAGTAATTGAAGGTTCTGTTATTGTTACATAGTAAACATTATTTCCAGCCAAAGTTCTACAAAGTAATCTAAGTTTTGTAAAATTTGATTTGATTGGATGATTTTGAATTTTATTCAGATAATCTTGTAAATCCGTGTAAGTGTAAGGATAGCAATGAGCCAAATAAACTTCGTCTTGATCGTGAGGAAATTCAATATTAAAAGACAAAGTATAATTTGTTATCTCATCTTCTTCCCCGTTTCTACAATACAAAAAAAAAATCATTTATAATTATTTTTTTTTTTTAATTAGATTGCTCTAAATCATTGCATTATTGTAAGTTTTAAACTAACGGAGGTTCATTTTTGTAAAATGAAATATTATCCCCGCATCTTCTCCATCCAATGGCATTCATTTGAGCATCTTTGGTAGAATATAATAATGGTTTCATTCCATCACTATATAAACTGTCGCCTTTCGATAAATTCACAAAAGAAAATCTGAAAGTAATAAAATATAATTAAGTTTTAGTTTTTTTAATTCTTTCTATGATCTGAAATGCATACCTGTAAATGATATGTTTTTTTGTATTTTGGATTCTAAAATAAAACCATTGCATATGCCTATTTGTGTACATATCAGTTCTAAGGTACAATTCGTAATACGTTTCAGTTATTTTAACTACTTTTGCCAAATTTCCAGATTCGAATCTAGATTCAAATTTTAAATTATCATCTTTTTCTTGGTTAGTTGGACAACCTGGCATAAAATAACGACTTCCTCCAACGCTAGATCTACTAAACTATTTGCATAAAAAACAAAATTAATTAAATTTTAATTTTTTTCAATAAAATTATTTGAAACCTACATAATTGACTGCACTCATTGGATAGTATTGAAAAACTACAGTTCCAGATTCTTCTCCAACAGGCTTTGGTTGAATTTCTTTGCCTGTGGGTTGATAATATAATTCTGGTGTTGCTGGAGTGTATTCTATATGTTGAACTCTTTCGTCCAATACCTAAGATGATTTCAATCAATTTTTTTTTTAGGAAAAAGAACATTTTATCATGTGACAATTTTAAATTTTGTATTAAAATATTTTTACCTGACATTCTGAGGGCCATCTGGCAAGTTGTTGATAACAGTCAAGTTCTTTTGGTAGAGCAAATAAATCTCTGGGTTCCTTTAATTTTGGAATGGGTTTAAGGGTTTTATTATCAGTGTTAATTTCAACTTGATTGGTTTTCAGTGTATTTTGTAGAAAACTATTTAAGTAAGTACCTGCTGAGAATAAAAAAATATAAGTGTTTTAGTGTTAAACAGTTCATTGTTAAAAAAAAAAAAAATTTTATTTTTTGGCAAAAATTATCACAGGGTTTGTAAGATTTTTCAAGAATTATTCAGTTAGCTTTTTTCTTATTTCAAGGTTTTAATTTAATGTAGTTCATTTTGATTGAGAGAGAGAGAGAGAATTTATTTTTAGGAAGTAAAAACTTTTGGAATAAAACTGAAATAAATTTTTTGAGTAATGGGTTCCAGAGGACGTTAAGAAATTTCTATTTTTTTTGTTTCTGAGGATTGAGTAGGATAATAAGAAGAAAATTTTACTATAAAATATCATAGAATAATTTTGATTTTAACACATGCAAAAATGATTGTTTTTAACGAAAAAAAAGTTATAAAAAAGTTCAATCGTTGAAATAATTATTTTTAATAATCGAACAAAGTACTTACCAGGACAATAGAAAAATTCAAAAAACCAATTAAATAAACAAGTTAATTTAATCAGTTAAATTAATAATTTTTAAATAAAGAAAAAAGTAAAAATATTCATAATATTACCTTTGATTTTAAATACAAAGTAGAGAATGTATTAAAATTTTAAAAAATTATGTCATAAATTTTAGTAATTTCAGAAACGTAAATCTAGAAAAGTACAAAAAACGGTTTTTTTTTTTTTAAATTAAATTATTGGTACGCTAATTAATATACAAGTTATCTACTTCCACGTCAAAAATAACTTAAGTTTTTAATTAGTGTTTGTGTTTTACGTTATTATTATTTAAAAGATTAAATTTTTAAATATTATTTATAATTAAATGTAATTTTACCATTTTTAAAGTTTATTTATTAATTATTATAATTTAATTTTTGTAAAGGTAATTGTCTTCTAACCTTTAAGTTTTATGTTAAAAGGAAAATATAACAACGAAAATTTATCATAAATTTTTTTTAGTTATGTAATAATAGATTAAAAATTATCATTTAATTAAAATAATAATATTTTATTTTATCGCATTATGTTGGCATGTAAATAATTTGGTTTCATTGTGTTAATTCTTAATGTGATTTCATCACTAATAATTTTTCATTTTAAAAAATTACACTTACTTTAACTACTCTTTGAGAAACTTAGGTTAAAATTTTTTTTTTTTTTTTTTTGAATATAATTTTTGTGTGCAAAATCTTAAAAGTTTTGTATCACATTTATGTGCATTTTTGTAAATTGTGTTTGAAATTAAAAACCTAAATTCACAACTTGAATTATTGTATAATTGCAGCTCAAGGTATAATGGAGATGTTTTAACAAAAACAGGTAAACAGGTATTTTGTGAAATGATACAGAAAAATAAATTTAAATAACTATTTGTGAATCGAAACAGACTAAAAATGACACAGGGCAAATATTAATAAATAAAATTTTACTTCTTAATATTATATTATTAATATTCGAATTTAACTTTATTTTGTGTTACTGAGTATAATAGAAATTAAAAACCTTTTCGACAATAGTCTAATATAAATTATTAATTTGAACTACTTCAATTTAAAATAAAAATAAAATACTCTATTTTTTTTTTTTTACTGCTAATTAATTATGAATAAAAAACATAAGCAAATCGAATAAAATAAATAGTACCTTGACACATTGCTTTACATGTAATTTTATCACAAATTTTTAAAACATTATTATTTGAACAATATGAACGACAGTATCTTTACTCGGTTAAAGTAATAATTTACTGCTTTGAAATTTAATGTATTACAAATATTTAGTAAAAAAATTTTTTTTTTTTTATTAGAACATGAAAATTAATTTTGTGTTTCCTTGAAAGTAAAAAAAAAAAAAAAAAAAAAAAAATTAAGTAAATATCGAACAAAAGTAATTTTTTATAATAAAAGACACGAAAATACCGAACCGTAGTAATTTAAAAAAAAAAAAAAAAAAAAACTTTTATAGGGGGGAGAAGTTAGCAAAAGTTTGACACTGAAATAACTAAGTTTATAAAAATAGTTTGAAGTTGTAAAAAAAAAATGTCTTTTTTTTTTTAAATTATTAATTATTCTGAAAATAAGGTCGGGTCTAATCGTCATTAAATTATCTTTATAGCGAATTTTTTTTTTGTTGAATTAAATTCGTCAAAAGTAAATTATAATAAACTGTTATCATTGTTTTAAAAAAAAATAAAAAATAAAAAAATTTAATTTTTATCTGTGTATTATCTTAAAAAATTTTTTTAATAAAACTTTGTGGAAAACAAAAGTGAAAACAGGTAATTTGAATTTAAAAATTATAAATTAAATTAATTTTTTTTTTTTAATAAAAACAAATTTTTCAAAAGAAAATGACAAAAAATTTGTTTTTTTTTTTTTTTTACTGAAAAGGGTTTTTAAAAAAATTTTAGAAATTTAATAAGATATTGTATTAAAATTTCTTTCAGAGACGCCATTATTGAAATTTAAACATAAAAATTTATTTAAAACATTTTCATGTTTAATTTTTTAAATTATTTATAACAATTATGTATAATCACAATTGACACAATTGACACAATTAAACCTCCTACAAGTTATACTTATTTATAAATTTTAACTCTTTTTATCTTACCTCTTGTTCTATTAGGTTGAAAAAGAAGTTCTTGTAATTCTTTAACGTTACAAACTATCGTTTCCTTTATTTGTTTTTTTTTCATTTATAATTTTTTTTTTTTTTTTTTTTAAATTTTCAATATTGATTGGATTTCACGTTTACATGTAATATTATTATTATTATTATAAATGGAAAAAAATAAATAAATAAATTTTTCTGATTCTCATAAATATTCTGAGAAAACTGAAAAGACTTTTCATTTCAACATTGATGGTTTTTGACTGAATATTTTTTTTTTTTACTAATAAAAGTTGCGTGAACGTTTGATTAAAGTTTTAGAAAAATCGTAGGGTTGAATAAAAAGGGTATAAATTATAAAAAAAAAAAGAAAAAAATTTTCAATTTCATTTTCCTCGATAGTGTGTTTCCCCAACGAAATTCAAAAAACGAATATTTTTATTTTTATTTTTTTCCCACACGTTTTGTTTAACAATTTCAGGATACAGAAAATTTTTTGTGTTTTTTTTTTCTAACACCACCATGTAGTGCAAGGTTTTTTTTCCAATTTTTTTTTATAAAAAAAAAAAAAAAAAAAAAAAAAAAAAACATTTACCCCCCCGAAATAATAATTTATATATAAAAAAATTAATTTTGTTTTTATTCTATAATATAAAAATAAATTATTAAACTTAAAAATTCATTAAAAACTATTAACCTTTAAATAAAACTTTTTTTTTTTTAATAATTTAATGGAAGATGTTATTAATGATAAAATATTTTACACGATTGATTAATAATTAATAATAAAACAAATTAATAATTTTAAATTTCGAAATATTACAGTTTTATAAAAAAATTTATAATAATCTAATTGTGAAATATAAATTTTTATTATTATTATCATCGTATATATATATATATATTCATAATTTGATGACAAATATAAATTTATCATATTTTTTAAACACATGCGATATTTTTTTTACATTTGTAAAAAAAAAAAAAAAAATAATTTTTTTTTATTCGATGCTGCGTGTTTTAGTAAAAATGTTTTCGTGTTTTTTTCTTTTTTTTTTTTATTCATGTCGTGCATGTAAACTTTTATTATTATTATTATTAATACTGTTCCCTTGTTTCTATTTAATTTCGGGAACGGGGGAAAAAAAAATAAAATAAAACTTTTTTTTTTTAGTTTGGATTTGATCGGTTGTATTTGTCGCAAAAATTTTAAACGAATGTTTTATTTTTCATTAAGGAAAATAAATTTTCCTTGAAAAGTTATTGTTATAACCTTTGATCATTTCCTTTTTTATAATAATTTTCTTGTTTTTTAAATAATATTCAATGGAAATTGATTTAAATTTTACTTCTTCTCTTTTAAAATGGAAATCTCACGCAAAAAAAAAACTCAAGCATGATGATTTTATAAATTTTTTTTTTTATAATAATAAAACTTTTTTAAATAATTTTCCTTATATGGTTAAAACATATTATTTTAATTTATGTAAAAAATATGAAATAATTTTCAAAAATTTATTTATTTTTGTTTAAAAATTTTAAAATTTTAAAAAATGAGAAACTTTTAATTTTTGTTTTTTATTTATTTTTTTTTTAAATTACGTGGATTATTTAATTTATTTTAATTTTTATTATCCATTTGATCTTTTTATTTATTAAACAAAAAAAAAATTAAAAATGTTAACTAATAAGAAATGCAACCAAAAAAAAAATAAGAAAAAAATTTTTATTCGTGTGTGAATCGTGCAAAATAATTAAAATTAGGTGTTGATTGTTTTGTTTTTTTTTTTTTTTTTTTTTTTAACGACTCACCGACATTTTTAAAATAAGATTTTTGAAGATCCATTTAGGACAAGAAATCATTTCGGCGAGAAGAAAAATATCAAAAGGAAATTTATTTATTTTAACTGCAATTAAAAAACTAAAAAAAAAAAAAAAAAATTGTTTGTTTTTTTTTTTCTTAATTTTTTCACTCAGAAAAATTTAAATTTTAATAAAATATTTATCCTCACCTGATAATTTCTTTTTCTTATTTTTTTTTTTTTTTTAATAACAAAAAACACTCAAAAATTTATTATTTATGTTATGATAAGTAAAATTATGACTTAACTTTGGCACTCGGTCTTTTAAATTAAAATAAATGTTTTTTGTTGTTGTTGTTGTCTTATAACCACCTAATGCCACGCATGCCCCAAATATTTAACTTAAGAAAATATGAATCAATGTCTTTTGTTACATTTTGAATCAAAAATTTAAGGAGGTAAAATAATATTATAAAAATTATTTTAAAATGATCTAACTCATCTATTTATTTATTTATTTATTTTAAAATTAAATTGGGTGTTTCCTCCTCAAACATTTATTTCTCATAATAATAGAATTTAATATTTTTTATTATGCAATTCAAATAATTTTTTATTTATTATTATTATTGTGTATTTTTCAATAAAACTCCGTACAAAACAAATTTAAATATTTTTAATTATTATTATTATTATTTTTTTTAAATTGAATTTAATAAATTGATAATAATAATAAAAAATACAATAACAGAGGGAGGGATTATAGTAAGAAAATAGTTTAAACTTATGATAATTGTGGTAAAATTATTATTATTATTATTATTATTAAATAAAGAAGAAGAAGAAACCATTTTTAATTTCAAATATTTGGTTCTACTATTATTATTATTATTATTTTTTTTTTTAAAAAGAAACCTTAATCGGGGGGGGGGGGGGTTATCCGAACTGCCATTATGACTTTTTTGTTTTTGTCAACATTTAAACATAAAAATTTTCTTTACAAACGGTTTTGTTTTTTTTTTTTTTTTTTTTTTAACAAAAAATATTTTGTTCATATATATTTCATTTGATTTTTACTTCCGCCCCCTCCTCCTCAAAGAAAAAAAAGAAAAAAAAATCGAAGTTTTTTCTAGTATTGCGCAATCGTTTCAGAAGTTTTTAATTTTTGGAGTTGATATTAGTGTAAGCTTTGATGGTGTACAGTTCATTTTTTAAAAAATTAAATTTTTTTTGTGTTACAATTTTATAAAATTTTTTTTTTTTATAACAATGAAGAGAAGAAATAATTTTCCAAATTTTCCTACACACCAAAGGTATACTGTAGCTTATTGTTCATATTTATTAATTTATATATGAGGTCATGTCATTCAAAATTTGAATGACACAGAATGGTACTGTCTTTTAAAAACAAAGTTTTCAACTTTCCTTTTCGATTTACCAGGGGAACCCCTAATTTGTTTTGTCAATAATATTATTATCAGTTAGCAAACTATTCAATTTTTTTTAATTATTATTATTATTATTTTAAAATTATATAAAAATCAATTTAAAAATCAAAAGTTTTTAACACGATTTAAATAATTCTCCCTTGTTTTTTTTTTTTTTGTAAAATTCGCCAAAAATTTACTGTTTGATCTAAATTAAATTACACGCTTCTTTTTCAGGTATAAATTAAATATGGAAAGAAAGGTAACCATCGCGGCATGTTCTTTAAATCAATGGGCTTTAGATTTCGAAGGAAATCTAGAAAGAATTATACAAAGTATACAAGAAGCAAAAGAAGCTGGAGCTACGTATAGATCTGGTCCAGAGTTAGAAATTAGGTTAGAATAATTATTTTAATTAATTAAAAATCAAAAAAATAATTTTTATCTTAATCCAATCAATTGATTTTCAAGCGGGTACAGTTGCCAGGATCATTTTTACGAGGGAGACACATTTCTTCACAGTTGGGAAGTTTTGGGAGAATTGTTAAAAAATCCCATTTGTAAAGATATTTTGATCGACGTGGGAATGCCCGTAATGCACAAAAATGTAGCATACAATTGTAGGGTAGTTTTTTTGAACAGGTAACAACTTGTTTTATTTACTTTTTTCATAATGAATAACGTTTTAAATAATGGTAAAATAACTTAAATTTAACTCAAGGCAAATCCTTCTTATTCGGCCCAAACTATTACTTTGCGACGATGAAAATTACCGGGAGAGTAGATGGTTTACTCCTTGGCGGAAACCCCAACAAATAGAAGATTTCACATTGCCCACGAATATAAGATCAATCACGCAACAAACCACTGTGCCTTTTGGTGACGCTGTCATTGCCACGAAGGACACTTGCATAGGCTATGAAATATGTGAAGAATTGTGGAATCCCAATAGTTCTCATATACCTTTAAGTTTAGACGGAGTAGAAATAATTGTTAATGGATCTGCATCTTATGTTTCCTTACGTAAAACATACGTAGTCGTTAACTTAATTAAAAGTGCCACGCTTAAGGTAGTCTTTTAAAAATAAACTTGATTAAAATCCTTAATTTTACTCCTCCTTGATAGTCAACTTTATGTAATGTCTTTTAGTGCGGTGGCTGCTACTTGTTTAGCAATCTCAGAGGTTGTGACGGTGAAAGAGTTTATTTTAACGGTTGCTCTTGTATTTCTATCAACGGTGAAATCATTAACCGGAGCAAACAGTTCACTTTGCAAGATGTCGAAGTTATAACAGCGACAATAGATCTCGAGGATATTAGAGCATATCGAAATGCGATTAGGTCTAGAAGTTATGTGTCGGCAGGCAGCAGAGCATATCCTAGAATTAACGTCGACTTCTTTTTATCATCCGATGATTTCTTTTTACCCTGTTACGAACCTATAGAATGGATTTACCACACACCGGAAGAAGAAATCGCATTAGGTCCAGCATGTTGGCTATGGGATTACTTGAGGTAATTTTTTTTAAATTTAAAAACATAAAACAATTTCCATGCAATGAAAAACAAACGTTTATTTAAACAGGCGTTCTAAACAAGGAGGATTTTTTTTACCCTTAAGCGGTGGAGTGGATTCAACTAGTACCGCTTGTATTGTTTTTTCAATGTGTCGTCTCATTGTTCAAGCCATTCAAACGGGAGGTAAACATAAAAACCTTTAAGTAAGTTTTTTTTAAACAATGTAAAACAATTGAAATAAATTTTTTTGCTGCAGATGAGCAAGTTTTGTCTGATGTACGTAAAATAGTATGCGATTTTTCATACACTCCTACAAGCTCAAAAGAACTTTGCGGTCGAATTTTTCACACGTGCTATATGAGAAGTGAAAATTCATCAGTTGAGACCAGAATGAGAGCCGAAAAATTGGCATCGGAAATAGGAAGGTAAATTATGTTTTTTATCATTAAACTTTTTAAGCGAATTTAGTAGCAATAATTGAAGTAAAATTTTTTTAGCTATCATTTAAACATCAGTATCGAGCCTGCTGTGAATGCCGTAATCAGGATTTTTACTGGGTGCACCTCAAGAGTACCGAAATTCAGTTTAGAAGGTGGTAGTCCAAGAGAAAGTTTAGCTTTGCAAAACATTCAAGCACGTTTAAGAATGGTTTTGTCTTATTTGTTTGCACAACTTATACTCTGGGTTAGAAACAGATCTGGAGGATTATTGGTTTTGGGGTCGGCCAATGTAGACGAAGCATTGAGGGGTTACATGACTAAATACGACTGCTCAAGTGCCGATATTAATCCGATCGGAGGCATTTCAAAAACTGATTTAAGAAAGTTTTTGGTGTACGCAAAAACAAAGTAAATATTATTTTTATATTTTCCAAAACCATTATTTTCGTAAATGACGAATGAACCGAAAAATACACACTTATTGCGTGATCTACTTTCAGGTTTTCATTAAATATTTTAGATGAAATTATAAATGCAACACCTACAGCCGAATTGGAACCTTTAAAGGACGGGAAATTAGCGCAAACCGATGAGGAAGACATGGGTATGACGTATTCAGAATTAAGGGAATTTGGACATTATAGAAAACAAAGATTTTGTGGACCTTATTCCATGTTCTGTAAATTGGTTCCCTCATGGAAAGATACATGTACCCCTGAAGAAGTATGTTTTAACGATTTGAAATTAACATTAAATATTTTATTTTACAATAGTAACTTTGGATAATTCATTAACAGGTTGCTTCGAAGGTAAAGCATTTTTTTAGATGCTACTCAATAAACAGACACAAAATGACAGTTTTAACTCCGAGTTATCATGCTGAAAGCTATAGTCCTGATGATAATAGGTTTGATCACAGGCCATTTTTATATAATTCTTTGTGGACATGGCAATTTCGAGCTATCGATACACAAGTATAGTAACTTCTTTTAATCAATTCTTAACATTTAAGTTATTTAAAAGTAATTTATCACATGCAATATTTTAGGTTAGCAACTACAATAAATGTGTGGCAGGTAGTAAAAGAGTATTTCTTCCACTTGGGTACCCCAGCAGTAGCGTACCGAGAATGGTGTAAAAACTACTTGATACAATATTTTGACATGTACAGTTAAAAGTGAAATGTCTTACATTGTAAAATATTAATAAATATTAGTTTTTTAATGCAAAAAGTACTTCATTTTTTAACAATTTTCATAATTAAAATATGATCAATGTTATTTTAGTATCAGAAATTTTCTAAAATAATTTTTTATATTATAATATTTTTGCATCGATTATTAAAAAAAATTAAAAAGGTTATATTCAATTCTTAATGTACATACCTTTTGGAAATCCAGCAGCAATAATACATTTAAAAATGATATCACATCAAACTGAAGATCTAAAAATTATTTATTTGCACATTTTTTAATTAAACGTATTTATTTTTATGATAAAATATTATAAATGATTTCACATTTTAACTGAATTTTTAAACTTATCACCTTAACTCTTTAGTAACGAAAAACCGGGAACATTAAAAAGGAAAATTTGGATTTTCGGTTGGACAACCTGTTTTTTGATCACTCCATTTTTCTGACAATGTTTATGACATTAGTATACACAATTTTAATAAACAAAGTATGTAATTTTGATATAAGTGATTTTAAATATTGTTCGAAATTAATTACCTAATTTTTTAATACTTAATTATATCATAAATAACTTTATCAAATGAAGTTGATATTATTTTTTTAATATTTTAGGCAATTTTAATTGCTTTTCCATTGCTGACACCCAAATGAATTCTTCATTTGCAATTTAATTATTGACAGTTTTGCAAACGTGTTCATCGTATTTGTATATTTCAAATTACATTTAAACAATTTTAAATATGTCTCACGCTGCGGTTAAGCAAGAACAAGTCGGCGAAAGAAATATTCACGAAATATTAAGTGAATCTTCACCCGGAGAGAAAAAAAATTTCGATAGAAACAATTTAAAATACATATCGCATCCGACATCGTTATCACTGTCGGCCAACGATTCATCAGTTTTGACTCCTTTTGAAGCTCCTTCACAAAATGGTGATCCATGCGCTAAAACTCCTCCTTCTAAAATAGACACCATTAAAAGCTGGAGTATTTCAACGTATAAGTGCACAAAGCAATTGATGTATGAAAAATTGGGTAAATCTTCTCGTACGGTGGACACAGAGCTTGAAAATCATATTGAAAGCCTAAGAGATACTCAAAGAAAATATTTGAATTTGTTAAGATTGTCAAGGGCCTTAACTAGTCATTTTTATCAAGTTGTTCAGATTCAAGTAAATATACTCAAAAATTTGGTATGAACAAAAATTAAATATAAGTGATAAATATAAAATTATCGATTCTTTTTAGCACGGTTTGGGAGAAGCATTTTCAGACTTGGCTCATAAATCACCCGAACTTCAGGAAGAATTTCTCTATAATTCAGAGACTCAAAAAAGTCTAACTAAAAATGGTGAAACTCTAATAAATGCTTTAAATTTCTTTATATCTTCTGTTAATACCCTTTGTACTAAAACAATTGAAGATACCTTACTTACAATTAGGCAATATGAATCTGCTAGGTTTGATTTTTTTTTTTTAATAAAATTCTTTTTATTATTAATGTTATAATAATTATATTAATATTGTTATTTTCTTTGACAGAATTGAATATGATGCCTACAGAACAGATTTAGAAGCAATGTCACAAGCTCCAAAAACAGATTCCAGTACAACTAAAATATTAGAAGCTCAGCAATCTTTTCAGCAGCAGAAAGATAATTTTGAAAAATTAAGATCAGATGTTTCTATTAAAATTAAATTTCTAGATGAAAATAGAGTGAGTTAAAATCAAAATAACATTTAATTAATCAACATAAAATTTTTATCTTTATTTTCAGCATGTGAATTATTTTGAAAATATTAATATAAGTTATTAATAAATTTTTTTTTATGTTTTAGATAAAAGTCATGCATAAGCAGTTGCTGCTGTTCCACAATGCGATATCTGCATATTTTTCCGGTAACCAACAAGCGTTGGAGGCGACATTGAAACAATTTAACATTAGAGTTAAATCACCCAATTCTACTATTCCATCGTGGCTCGAGCAGTAGTTTTATGTGTTGTATTATTACTTGCTATTGCAAATAATTATGAATGATCTATGTTCTCAATTTATGTTTATGGCACATATTTATTTTTAAAGCTTAAATTAAGCTATACATATACATATAGCTAAAAAATTGATTTTATAATTATTTATGAAAACATATTTAAATGTAAAAACTAAATCACAATAATGAACATAATGAATAAGCAGTGGTAACTAATTTAAATAATTTTATTTTTTTTTTAAATTTCAATCGAGTAAAGAAGTCATAAAGTTTCATTTTATAATTACAATATAAATGAATAATCTAATAATAGATTATTATATATGAGAGGTAAAATTTTATTGCTAGTTCATTTTTAATAGTATATGTAATAAGGAAGGGTAATAATTTCTCGAAAATGAAATTAAAAAAAAGGTTTTATATAATTTAATTCAACGAATATGTCTATCATAAAATATTTTTGGGGGAATTCAAGTTGAATTTCATTTCATTCCTAATTTAATGTAATTGTCTTAATGTTACTGCTGCTTTATTATTTGACATAAAAACTTTCATAATTTAATCATGTGCTGCAAAGCTTTAATTTACACTTGACAAAATCAATGAAGCCAAACAAAAATAAACTGATCAATAATATGGATTTAAAAATAATAAAGGATTTAAAATTATTAAAAAAAAAAAAAAAACAAAACATGTAATGAAATAAAAAATAGCTTTAAATAAAAAATATTGCACTACTTTTTTATTTGTAATGCGTGTAAGCATGTAAGCATTATGTAAAATTATCGAATAGGTATATTAAATCAATAATTAATATTAATAAAAAGATTTTCGAAAGAAAGTATTACTTAGGTAATAGCATTAGATAAGGGAGAAACCACAAAAAAAAAATTAAGTAGATTTCAATGGTTAATTGTTTTTTGTTTTTGTAACAAAATATATATATCCTTTTTCTAAAAGAATTATTAATTTTGTTTTTTAAAATTATCTAAAGACAATAAGTTAATAGACAATTTGTTTTAAAAATAAATATCTTCACAAATACAGTATGTTGCCACAATATAAATTCAATATAAATGTTACTATTAAGCAGTAAGAATTCAATTTTAGGTTTTTTCGATATTACAAAAATAATAAAAGTAATAGATTTAGTTTTTTAATAATTTTTTCCTAAAACAAATGAATTATGTAGCTTTGCCTAAATTAAGTAAATGATTTCTTATAATTATATTAGTGCATATTAAATAATTATAGAAATACTTACATATATATATAAATACATATATATTTATACATTCAGTACAATAAATATAAAAAATTTTTATAACATTAATAAATTGGACCATCGTCTAAATTATCATCTTCTTCATCGAAGTAACTTTCACCATTGTCAAAATAATTATTTACATAATCTGTTCCATCATCCATTTCTTCATCATCATCTTCTTCCGTTTCTAAATTTTCTTTGTCATTATCATCATCTCCATCTTTATCCTCTGATTCTTTCATATCTTCAGATTCATTTTCTTCTTTATCTTCCAATTTAGCAAGTTTTTCCAACCTTAAAATGTTTGTTAAAATTACAAATTCACCAAAAATTATAATTTTTTTTTTTTAATTAAAAGGTTTTCATGTGAACTTACCTACTGGAAATATCAATATTTGATTTTTTAGGTTCAGTACAAGACTGCATGCGACTTTTTCTTTTTAATGCTTTCTTCCAGTTTGGATGTAGCTCTGCTGGTAATGCATCCCAATAGATTTGAGAATCAGAAGATTCTTTAAGTTCTGAACTTATCATTTGATATTTATCAGAGAATCTTTCAATTGCTGATAAACAATTATTATTTTGTCTTAAACTTTGAAAATATTCAACAAAATCTCTTTTTAAAGCTACCATATATTCAGCTGAAATGAAAACAATGTTAATTTTACTTAGATAATTATAAAATAAATAAATTAATGATAATTTTATTTAAGTTAATCAAAATATCGTACTTTCTGCTCCTGTTTTTAAAGGCAATGGCTTATGTTCCAATATCGGAAAAGTGGGAGGTGGGTACAAAGCAGGAGCCGGAAGTGCTTCTCCTCCACCAAATCCTAATTGATTATAATCAAAAGACATTTGATGTCCCCTTCCTCTACCTCTACCTCTGCCCCTTGCCGCCATATTTCCAGAACAATTAGTTAACTTCTAATGCTTTTACTTTTTTTACTAAGTCTTCTGTTTCTTCTTCGGACTCCTTTGAATCGCTGAGAAAATCTTCCTATAAAAAACAAAAAAATTAATAAGAAATTGCAATATTATAAGTAAGAAAAATTTCAAAAAATGTTTTTTTTTTTTTTTTAGACAAATACAATAAATATTTTTTTAATTTTAGGTTAAAAAATTATTTTAAATATCAGGCAAAAACATTAACTAAACAATAATAATTATTTATATAAGGTTTTTAAAGGCATGAATTTATTATAATAAATACTAATATGAAACATTTCAGGTTTTGCACAAGGGTACAAAAACATACAAAATTATTTCAGTTTTTTATTTATTTTAATTGTTTGAAAATATTAGCAGTTTAAAACGATAATTAAATATGAAAATACTAATAATATGATTTTTATTAATATAAAAAGTATAAATTAGTTAAAGAATAAAAAGTAAACTATATATATAGTAATATTAATAATAATACTAAACTGGGGGTAGAGAAAAAATAAAAATAAAATGAGACAGCATATATTTATTTTTTTAAAAAAATAGTTTTTTATAAATAATTTTTGAATTTTAATTTAAATTTCTCATTAAGCCATTTATTTTATTTCATTATGTCTTTACCTTACTATATATAACTTTGATAATTAATGAACAACTAGGACATGAGGCTACTTCTTCTCCGGCTAATAAATCCGTCTGAAATAATATTAACAATATTGAATGATAAAAACACTCAAGTTACTTTTAAAAAAAAGTAATAAATTAAAAATAAAATGTGTATATAATTAATTCAAATCACAAAAATTTTTATTTTTTTTTTTTTACCTTAGTAATTTGAAATTTATCCCCACATGGACAAGGATAATAATATGTTTCCTCCTCTGCATTGTACTCGAAATCTTCAATTTCAATTTCGTCGTAATAATTTACCATTTTATAACATCATTAAAGACAAAAATATTTTTTATAACAAACTAAAAATTTATTTAAATGTCTCTTCGGTTAAAAAATATTTAACTTTAGTGTGCAAAAATTCAAGGCCCTTTAAACGGTTAGTCATATTTTATTGACATTGTTGGTCAATGGTTTGTTTATATAAAAATGAAATAGCATTGAGAGTATATTCGACAATTAAATAATGGCATCGAAACAAGAAGATGAAAATTACTGGAATCAAAGTAATTTCAAACCATTTTCATTTGATGACGAGGATGTAAGGAAAATTTTTTATTTAATTATATGTTTTTGCGTTACTTTTTTATACTTATTTATATTAAATAAATTTTAGTTAAGCAGTAAAAGTCAAATATTTGGAAGCTCTGTTTCTTCTTCTATCATAGCTGATATTATATTTGATGGTGTTCCCACTGTAGAAAAACCAGATTTGCAAAAGAGACCATTGGAAACTTTAATATCCAAAAATTCATTGGACAGGAGTAAGCTACTGAAATTAACGTTAAATATTTTAAGTGGAATTTTTCTTATAAAAAATTTTTGTTTTAGTTTTTTCTGATGGCCCTTTTATAAAACCTCAAAAAGTCAGTCTCGAAGAGGAATTAAGAATACTTAGGCGAAAAATTGATGACCAATGGGTACCTCCAAGTGTTTTAAAAACAATAAAATGTATTATTTTAGGACAACCTTTTTCTTTACATTTGTATCGATCATTGGATTTAAAAAAAGAATTATTGGATGAAGCTATTAAAAGTGGAGATGGAAATGCTATACTGGCTGTAAGTTTTAAATGTTTTTTTTTTAGAACTTTATCTAATTTAAATAATTTACATAATTTAAATTTAAAAAATTATTAATTTTAATTGTAGATAGTTCTTCACTTATCGAAAACTCTTAAAAAAAGTATATTTTATCAAGTTATTCAAATGCAACCAATTGCTATTTCACAATATGCTAATTATTTAGAAACTAGGCTTATGATTTCTGATTTAATTGATCTATTAGAGTAAGTTATTTGTAAACTTAAAATTTCATTTCAAATTAAAACTTAAATTTGTTATATTTTTCTTATTATTATAGAATGTCTGGGCAAATTAGGGAAGCAGCCATGAAACAATACACATACATTGTTCAGGGCACTCAAAATATTGAAACAAAGATTCAAAGATTGACTGCATGCTATAGCAATCATTTTTCTTCATTAGATTTAAGGGATAAGGATTTAGTACAAAACTACCTTAAATACCTTCGTAAGAATCTAAAAAAAATTAAATTATTCATTTTAAAAAATATTTACATTCTAAGGTTTATTTTTATTATTAAAAAAGTAATATTATTATACATAGAATTGTTAAATTGTAAAATTTTACTTTTTTTTCTTTAATTCGTAAAAATTTAAGTAAATGTATTTTGTAATTTGATACAAAATATTTAGTAATGAATTTTTTTTTCTTATTTTGCAATAATTTACAAATGTTTTTTTTTAGAGTGGACAACTTCATTAGAATCTCCCATTTTTTCATCCATTCCTAAAACTTCAGTGTTATCTTCCTTGGAATACTTGTGCAAAAATTTTTGGAATGAGCCAAAAGTATCGAAACATTCTCCTTGGTTTCTTATACCTTTTCAAGGTATAACAGAAAGACAAGTTCAATGGATAATTTTAACTTCTAGATCATCGAAACAATCATGGGATGATATCGAAGCTCATTTTCTTGCAAAAGTTTGTATTCAATAATTGATTAATTTGTTATATAATATTTTAATTGAAAAACTATTTTTATTTTTATTTTTAAGGGTTGGTTAAGTGCAAGAAAATTAAAAAGCATCATTCCTATTGAAAAAATAATTACTGAACTTCATCAGTGGAAGGCTCCCTATAAAATCCTTGCCCAATACTTTGATGTTATGAGTAGTTTTGACAGGAGATTAGAACTTGCAAAACAATTGCCCTGCCATTTGGCTGTGATAGATGTAATAACCTTTTTTTTTTTTTTTACTTTTATGAGATTTATTCAAGTCATTGTGTAATATTCTAAATATTTTTAGGTTTATGTTTTAATGAAAGATAGACGAGGGATAGAAGAGTATAAAATTAATTTAAAACCTCAATCTGAAGAATACCTTCATGCTGAAAATGCATTAAGACTTCAAATCAAATGGAAAAATTAAATCATGGATATTGTTATTTTATAAATAAACACTTTAAAATTTTTTATTAAAATAAAAATTCATATTTTTTTAATTCACTTTATATTTTTTACTATTAAAGATATTTGGTATATTAAAAATTATTATTTGCCATGCTTTTTTCCATTAATTATTTCAAGAGTTTAAAAAGTATTTAAATTGGCGCCAAAAGTCAAATGATAACCAAATGAAAACAAACTTTCTTTTAAGCAACAGTGTATAAAATAATTTTTATTAAATTGTTTATAGTGTTAAATAATTGTTTGCATAATTGTGAAGTTTATAAAAATTCTTTTAAATAAGTTTGTACTATTTTAAATTTAAAAAAAAAAAGTGGCGGAAACATTAAAAATTTAAATAGAATTTAATAACCAATATGTCTGCCAAGAAGGAGTAAATGTTAATGGTGCTCTCAAAAGAAATGATTTACAGGCCTTTAATTATTGCTTAGTTTATTTTTTTTTTTTCATTTTCTAATAATTAATATGTCGGGTAGTTATTATTTTGTGATCGTTGGTCATAATGACAATCCAGTTTTTGAAATGGAGTTTAATTTTTCATCAAAAGAACCTAAGGTTAAAATTTTTTTTTAAATATTTTTTTTTTCAATTTAAAAAAAAAAAAGGTTTTAAAAGATTTTATTACTTTAGAAAGAAGATCATCGTCATTTAAATGAATTTATTGCTCACGCTGCATTAGATTTAGTTGATGAGCATATGTGGAAAACAAATAACATGTATTTAAAATCAGTTGATAAATTTAATCAATGGTTTGTGTCTGCTTTTGTAACAGCTAGTCAAATGAGATTTATCATGGTTCATGATAATAAAAATGATGATGGAATTAAAAATTTTTTTATGGAAATGTATGAAACTTACATTAAGGTTAGTAAATTTATCTATCCCTATAAACATCACTAAAAATTTTATTACCATTTTGTATTTTAATCCTTATCATTCAATACATTGTGTTAAAAATATAATTCACATCGGTATTTTATTATCAAGCGGTTTTTGTTTTAGTATTCGATGAATCCATTTTATAAAATTGGAACTCCGATACGATCTAAAGCGTTTGACAGAAAAGCTCAATTATATGGAAGAAAGTTTCTCACGAGTTAATTTATTAATTTATTTATTAATTTACCCCAAAAAAAGTTATTTACATACTATTAATTAAATCTATCCCTTTTGTATATATATAAGTGTACATCTTTATTAATAACATGTAACTGTAATATTAAAAAAAAACTTAATGAACTAGTTAATTATGTTATCATTAAATTTAATTATATTTTTTTTTTAATCGCTAATCAATAAAAAATTATCGAAAAGCTTTTAGAAAATTTATTTAAATTAATACCACTCACAAAATTTTTAAAAAAATTTTAAATAAATAAAAATAAATAAATAAATGAAATTTTTAAAATTGTTTGAAAATATAACTCCGATAATAATTTTAAAAAAAATATATATATATATTTTATATTCTTTCGGAATGTGAAAAAAAAAAAAAAAAATTAATTTAATTTAAGCCATATTAAAAAAAGAAAATTTAATATCGAAGTAATAATAATAATAATAATAATAAATGGTTTATAAATGTTTTTATTGAAATTTTCACATTTTTGCATTTAAATAAAAATTGAGCTTAATGCTTTCACACATGGGATTTATATAAAGTTTAATAAAAGATTTAAAATTATTTTGAATTAAAAATGAAAAAAACTTGATATTAAATTTTAATGAAATATGAGTAATAAAAGAAACCAACTTTTTATTAATATATATATATATATATATAAAAAAATTTTGATTTGAAAAAATGTCACTCGTTTAAAAATCAACCAAGAGTCAAGAGTTAAAATTTAAAAAATATTTTTTTATTTTTTTTATTTTTATTTATTATTCTGTGAATTTTAATAATGAATTCAGAAAGTAAAAAACAAATTTTGGCTTTCATCATATTATTAACAACCATATTAGGTAAATTTTATTAAAATATTTTAATTTTTCTCGATAAAAATATCCACATATTTATTTATTTATTTTTTTTTTTTTTGTGTGTTAGAAATGGTCAATTCAAACAATAATGATAATTTTCCTATAATGATAAATGATGATGATTTATTAACAGATAAAAAATCCGTAAGTTATTAATTTTATTAATTTAATTCTAAATAATAATTAAAATTTAAATTATTATTAATTTTTTTTAATTTTATAGGCCAATTTGGGAAGCAGGGTAAGTAATAATTTAATTTTAAATAAATAAATAAATTTTTGATAATATTATTTATTAAATGATAAAAAATTATTTTTCCAAACTTCACATCATAAACACATAAAGGTGGTAAGTTGAATTTTATTTTATTATTATTATTATTTTTAATTCTTTCCATTTAAATTTTAAATGATGATAATAATAATATTTATTTATTTATTTATTTTTTTTAAACATCAGATGTGTCGGGTGAGTTATATTAAAAATTTTCTTTTTTTAAATGATTTTTTTTTTTTTTAAACAAATAATAATATTTTTTTTTTTTTTTGTCATTTTATTATTATTATCATTTCCGAATGATTAAAAATAAATAAATAAAAGTGGGATTCGAGGGTGAGTAAAAATTATTAATAAATAAAATAATTAATAATTTATCAATTAAATAAAAAAAAAAAAATCCAATAAATTTTAATTAAAAAAAATTTTTTTTTTCTTCCTCCTTTTTTGTTTTTTAGAATTGTGGAACTGTAAGTATTATTATTATTATCACTTATGATTTCTATTTTTAATTGTTTTTTAAATAATAATAATAATGATAACTTTTAGTATAACAAAATGAGAAAAAAATATTTTGGAGATTTTTTCACTTTGAATGATGCTAATCAAAGATTTAATTATTATTTGGCAAAAGCATTGCAAAATAAATATTTCAATGAAAGGTAATTATTAATTATTATTATTATTATTACTAATTAATTATTTAATTAATTAATTTTTAATAATTTCTTACTTCATATTAATTTTCTTTTACTTTAGATTTATTACTAACACGGATTCCAAAGCGGAATAAAAAAAAAAAAAAATTGCTAATTTCCTCAAAGCAATTAAAATAAATAATTTATAATAATAATAATAATAATAATAATAATTTTTTCAAAATAAAATTGTTGTAATTCATTAAAAACTTTTTTTTTTTTTTTTTTTTAAACTAATATTATTTATTATTTATTATTAAAATATTTTTTTTAAAAAAAATTATAACGATTCCGGAATTGTAAAGCATACGTTATTATATTTTATTTATTTGACAATTAATTCATTTCCGGTTTGAAATGGAAAACAAAACGAAAAAAAAAAATCGGTGGTTATAGTGACGTAATAATTAACAAAATATATATATATATATATGTAATTGAAATTTTACATAATAATAATAATAATGACAAAAGGCAAGTTATTAAAGTTGTAAAAAGATTCATTTGATAAAAAAAAAAATTCTTTTAAACTCTTGTTACACGCAAATACTTTACAAGAATTAATTAATACAACTAACAAAAAACTAAGTTTCATTTAAAAAAAAAATTATTTACAAACGATTTGTTTAAAGTTTATAAAAATTTAATCAATGTTAAATTGTTACATTGGATTGCATCAATTAGTATAAATATAATTTTAACCGTCTAATTCTGAATATCGGGCCATCATTGAACGTTTGACATTTTCCTTGTAAGAACTACCGACGGATCCGACTCCCAAATTGCTACCCGATGATCCTAATCCCGCTGTTGGAACACGTTGACTAGCCTTTGAATAAATTATCGGTTATAATTTTAAAAGAAAAAGTTATCGTTATTTTAAAAAAATGTAAATAACTCACTTGGATTATATCGGTTCGACCTTGGTTGGATCTTCCCAATCCCATCCCTTCGGTCCAACCCATTTTTTGTAACATTTTGTTACCAACGTTTTCGGCAGGTATTCCTCCACGGTTCGGTTCTTCGTATATTTCTTCTTTTTCTTTCAAGTATTTTTCCTAATATATATATATAAAAAAAAAAATTGTTTCGAGTTTTTTGAACCTTGCAGACAAAAAATAATAATAATAAAATTTCAATTGAATGTATGTACTTTTAATTTGTTGGGCCTGGGCTCATCTGGAATACCAAATTTTTCTCTTCTTTCTTTAGCTCGATCTCGATACATTCTTTGCGAAGAATTGTCCAAACCCCGACTGGAATACCAAGCTTCCAAATTTTGCTTGTGTAGATCCGAGAGTTGTTGATGTCTAATCAAAGCTTCTTTCGTCGGAAATTGTCTTTTACAAAGCAGACAAGCTAACTTGACCCAATCCGTGTAACATTTGTCTTCGGCTTGATTTTCCTCCGGAGCTTCATCGCTATCACTCCCTCCTCCGTAAGATGCAACTAAATTCGACTTGAATAAAAATTTTTTTATTATAGGTAAATTTTGAAAAAAATTTCCGGGTAGATTTGTATATTGCAAAAAAAAAAAATTTACTTGGGGATGTTCAACTTGTTCTTGCGTGGTTTCTGGGAACGGTAAATTGACGGAGGATTCTTTTCTTTCGAGAACAGCAAAAGCAATATCGGCGGTGCTGGCAGCTTTGGCAGCTGCAGCTGCTTGTTGAACTGCAACGGCATTCATTTTGGCAATTTCTTTCTTCTGATTCAGTGTTTTAGCCCATCTTTCCATATCCTAATAATTATTATTCGAATATTAAAATCACTGAAATCCCTTAGATTAAATTTACCAAAAATATTTATCCTTTTTTCCTAAGAACAATTATCACCTTGGCAATTCTTTTGGCCACTTTAACTTTATCTTGATTTTTATCCTTATCTTTATCTTTTTTCTTTTCATCTTTGTTAGCTTCCTCCGTTGCCGTTTTGCATTGATTCCCTGATTTATCATCCGTCGGCGCGGGCATGTACGCTCTTTTTTCAGAATCCCAATATAAAAATATTTGATCCTGACTGTGATAGTAGTATTGCGACGCTGCATCATAATATAAGCCGGTATGTTGATCGAAAAAATATCCCGAGGTTTCGTCGTAACTATATGAACTGACATCAGGTTCACCTAAATAAAAAACGGCCGAAATATAATTAATAATGTAATAAACATTTTCTCTTTGATTATTTAACAATTACTCTCGACGTTCAAAATTTCAATAACAGACCTATGTTGGTATTTCCAATTAATTGTCTGGATGATAAATAAACGGTTGGAGCCGGAGCAGCAGCTGCAGATATGACTGCTTTTTTCGATTGAGCTTGTTTAATGGCCGATTGAGCTACTGCAGCAGCCGCATTGGTTCCGGTGCCTTGCTGGACGGGATTACCACTCTTAAAATGAAACGCGATAGGATTAGATTACAGATGTGTATTTTTTTCTCGTAACCAAAGTATTTGACTTAAATTTAACGGATAAAAATTCACCTGTTGAATTTGAGAGGTATAATACTGTGTATAATATTGAACGTAAGCAGCATGTTCTTGAGGAGTGGTGGCATACATTTGCGCACTGTATTCCGCTAAACGAGGAACGTCCTCCAGTTTATAATCGGTTTCGGATAAACCGCAGGCTGCCCATTGGTTCTGAGTTAATGCCGAGGGTTGTACTTGTGGTTTATCCAAATGCAATTTGCAATACGATACACTCACTGAAATGTAAACAAATTAAAAAAATTTTTAAATATTATACTTTTACTTAAAATCAACAGAAATAATCGTTTGTATAATAATAATAATAATATTTTGTAAACAATAAAATATTTAATACCTTTCCTTCCTTCTATATTTAAAACGGTTGCCGTTAAAGCATTATACAATTTAATTGCTTCTAAAACATTTTTCATTTCTAGGTAACATATGCCCCGTGATAAATTGGTAAGAGAATCTCTAGCGATTTGGCAAGATTGAATTGGTATGCTGGAAACGTTACTTATTTCTTTTAACAATGTTTCTTCATTGGTTAAAACATCCAAATTTCTCAATAACAATTCTGTAAATTGCAGATTAAAAAAAAACAAATTAGTAGAAAACTTATCAACTAATTTACGTGTAAACTCATCGACGGTGAAGTAAACAAATAAAATAATACATACTAGTAGTCGGATGGGGGCTAATTTCATTGGTACAATCTAAACCATCATTAACTTCCGGTCTTGGAGCATGGCACTTGAAACAAGACACTCTTTTTTTAAAGTTATGGGCGAAGCACTGAAAAATAATTAGTTTCATAATTAACATCATTATAAAATTTTTTATTATTAATAAAAATCAGAGTGAACTCTCACTCACTTTAGGACAATCCCAATCTGTCGGAGGCATCCACACGGATGAGGGCATATTGTCGTTGCTGATAATGGAAAACTGCATAATAGCACGATATTGATCTTGAAACATCAAAACACCCTGAAACAGACCGAGCAAAAAAATATTAGAAACGAAAATTTTTTAAATTGTAACCAATTCCCAGAATCAAAAAAAGTTCTTTCAAGACCCTTCTAAAGAACTTTGTTAGACATTTTTTTTTTTTTCTAAGCGTCAAGCAAATCCAATACTCATTTCTTTTTTTTTTTTTTTTTTTTTTTTTTTATTTAAATAAAATAAAAAAAAAAAAAAAAAAAAAAAAAAAAAAAGCCTAACAAATGATATTTTCAAATTTATTAATTTGTTGTTTTTTTTTTTTTTTTTTGGTAAACAATATTTAAAAAATTCCAAAGTAATAAATCATTTAAACCTAACATTGTGACTAATTAAAAGATATTTTTTAGGTTTTTAAATTAAACCCCCCCCCTCCGAAAAAAAAAAAAAAAAAAAGTTCTAGAAATTTTAATCTTATTATAATAATAATTATTATTATTATTTTATGTTTCATTTATTTATTTATTTTTTTTTTTTTGTTTTTAAATAACTAAGTTCTAAATTTTACTTTCTCCATATAAAAACAATTTCTTGTGGATACAGTAAGTTAACTATTTTAACTAATAGGAGAACTTTAATTATTAAAATTTATTAAACGGTATTTTACCCTAACTTGCTTTATGTAAAAATAGATAACAAGTAATAATTTATGTATATATATATATATGGAGAAAGTAAGTACCAAACTGCTTAATTTCCATCAAAACCTAATTTAACAAAAAAAAATTCGCCTTCAACGACGAAACTCGTAACATTTCTTTCCTTCTCTTATAGAAGTAATCGAAAATTAATAAATATTAAATATGAAAAAAAAAATAATGAAAAAAAAAAAAAAAAAACGATAAAAACTTCAAATTGAAGTAATGACTATTACTCGAGAATCCTGTTTAAGCAGTTGGAAGGGCCTCGGGGCCTGATTGATGGGAGAGCCACGGCCTCGGGGCCGAGCAAGCGTCTAGCAACTGAATACCTGTTTCATCTCCATCCAATAGCGCGCTTCTTCCGTACTGTTAAACTCCACGAATGCAAACCCTCTCGACGCACCTATAAAATGGATCAACACAAACAATGTCTAAAATTAACCATAATTCTTTTCAACACAATTTCTCAGCCCGGGATGTAGTTTTTTTTATTGGGCATATCACACCTCCTATAGACGATTCTCTTTTATGTACAAAATTTGCGGCCATAAAAAAACTTTAAGCTTGAATTTTTAATTTCAAAAAAAAGAAAAGAAAAAAAAAAAAAGAAAAAAAAAAAAAGAAAAAAAAAAGGTACACACACGCGTACATATATATATATTTTTTTTTTGGTTATAAATTTTTAATGTAACTTACCAATACATGACTGACTAATTAAAAATTAGGAATTTTGTTTTTGTAGATAAAATGATATTTTTATAAAATTTTATATAGTTTGCAAATTAAAAAAAAAACATATTTAAAAAGGAAAATGAATGTTTAAATAGTTATTGATAAATTATATATATATATATATGTACACATATGTGTAAAATAAAAACCGAAGCCACAAAAGGAAATCCGGAAATAAGTTATTATGCGGATTAAAATATTTAAATTCTGAATTAATGGGAAAAAGAAAGATTTTTAATTTACCTGTTTCTTTCTTTCGTATCAAACGAATGTCTTTGGGCATCATACCACACTGAAGAATGTCTTGTCGAATCTAAAAGAAATATATACAATTTAAATGACAGCAGATGAATAGAAAAAATTTAAATTTGAATTTAAATTTGAACCCACTGTTTTTCTTGTAAATTTAATTAATGACTGTCTTTTTTTTTTTTTAATAATTTTAAAATGCTTACGTCATTTTCAGTTATGTGCTGAGCTAAACCTCGAATCATAACAGTTTCATTAGGAGTTTGAGTTTTATAATTAGCTGCTTCAAGACTGAATTTAGAATCCACAGGATCATTTCCTCTATGCCTTTTAGATGGACCGTCATCATCTCGATCTCTGTCCCTATCCCTATGACGAATATCATCTCTTCGTCTGTGACCGTCACCGTCGTCGTTTCTTTTACGCTTTTCCTTTGGTGATCTTTCTTTCCGTTCACGACTCCCTCTTCGACTACTCCTTGATAAATTTCTACCAAACTGATCTTTTTCCACAGAGTCTCTATCTCTCCTATCTTTAGATCTATCCCTTTCCCTACTTCTTTTTTCTTTTTCTTTCAAAACTCCATCTCTTTCACTAGATCTCCAGTCTCTGTCATTAGAATGTTCACGTCTATCTCGTCTGTCAGGAGAATCGCGTCTAGAGTCAGAATCCCTTCTGTCTTTGGAAGAATTTCTGTCATCACGAGACCTATGTCCAGATCTATCTCTTTCTTTATCACGATCTTCCCGATCACGATGTTTATCACTTCTATCACGCTTTTCAGACCTCCTTTCAGAACTGGAATATTGAGTTCCTTTTCCATCTTTAAAGTCTTTTTTACTTTTCTCATTATTTTCATCATCATATTCTGTAGTATTTTTAAATTGCCAAAATCCTTGCCTGGGCATTTTATTGGCATCATCTTTATTTTGTTTTGGAGATGATTCACTTTGATTCCAATTTTGTGCTACTCCTTCATTACGATCCGGATAAAATATTTCGGAAGTTGTAACAGGAGCACATAAATTTTGGGCAAATGCTATAAAAATAAAATGTGATGTAAATTTTCAAAAGAAGAAATGACTTAGATTAGTTTGAGGTGTTTAAACATTTATTAAATCCAAAAAAATTTTTTTTTTTTTTTAAATACGTAAAAACTTATAATATTTCAGAAAAATAATCTTTTAAAATTTTACCTGGATGTGCTACGTCCCATGCAGGATTTTGAAAAGGAAATTGTTCATATGTAGCAAAGTCAACCGTTCCCTGAACAGGCTGAATAAATGGAAATCGTGGGGAACCTCTCCCCCATAAATTCATAGCTAAGTACAGTTAAAAACAAAATTATAATCAAATTCACTCAGGCATGGCATTAAATGAAATAAACCTCACGAAAAACTTCTTATCATTTCTTATTGACCCCTAGATTCGTGTCGTATATTTAAAATGTATATTTCAAACTTGAAATTATAGATTTTTGCATTTAGTCAAAATAATACAATTAAAAAAAAAAAAAAAAAAAAAAAAAAATTATGATGGTAAAATAATCCTAAATTATTGCATGATCAATATGGCGCATTTGTATGGCGTCAGTACAAAAACTTTGCTTCATTTTTTTTTTAATTATTTGTTAAGTAAGTTAAAAATAAGTTTATATTTTTTTAAAAGCGACATTACGATTCAAATTCAATTTCACAACCAATAGTCAATTATTTAAAAAATAACTTTTACCGTAATTTTGCAGGAATAAACTTACTTTAAGCGTACTTAATTGCGATGCACTAAATATGTCACCTACAATAAGGCCCTAAAAAATTGATCGTGATTTTTGTTTTAAAGCGTAAAACAGTTTTTTCAAATTGATTTTAAAAAATATGAATTTATTCTGTAATGCTACAATACGAATTTTATTTTTTATTCAATTTTTTTTTTTTTTTTTTTTTTGTCAAATCTTAATGTTAGCGGGCACAATAAGCTTAAATAGTTTATGATACTCTTTTAACGGAGTTTTTTATTTAATTGAAATAGATTTAAAAAATAATTTGGCCGAAAAAAAACGTTAAAGTAATTGAATGACTTATTAAAAATTTTTTAAAGGTAAACTTAATATGAACTCTTTAGACAAAAATAGTACATAATTATTTTAGTATTTTATTTAATAATTCTTTATATGATAACCATAAATAAATGTAGGTATAAAATATTAAAAGAATAAAAATTGAAAAACTTTTAAAATCAATGTTATTGAAGTATAATTAATTAACCAGGATTATTATTATAAAAGGTTACATTTTTTTTTAAATGAATAATCCATAATATATTTTTTTATAAAATTTTATTTAAATTTATGTATACATTTCATATTACTACAACTATTAAAAGTAATTAAAAGCATTTCAATATAACAAAAATCCTATTAAAAAAATATATTTATTTCAAATAAAATATAATAATAATAATGATCAATTT